AACAATGTATTCTTTATAATTATTATTATGAATAATAATTTTGGCATTTTGCACTCATTTTACAAAGAAGGAACAGAAAAGATTCTACAGAACAGGCAGAAATGTAACAGAATGTTCTTTTTTAAGAGTTATCTTTAAAAATGTTCAAGGTAACAGACAGACCTTCTGATGTAAACCCAAGGCAGAGGATCTAACTATTTATATGGAAGAAATATCTGCCCATGCACTAGTTTCTATCTCCTTCACTTTTCTCTTAGCATCTCACCCAACACTGCAGGCACTGAGGCCTCTTGACATATGAACATTTGCTAATTATCTTCATGTTAGAAAGGGGAATACAGACTACATAGCTTGTGCACAACAGCTTTATGGGATGCTTTTATTCCTTCAAAATAAATGCTCAAAGTTCTGTGTAAAGGCCCCTTGTTGGACAAACAGTAGTGCACGATCCCATAACTTGTCTTCCTAGCAGTCTACTCACCCATGGAAAAGAACACCTTAGCATTGTGATCAGTTCTTGCCTGGATGTCAAAAGCTAACCGTGATGAGAAATAAACAGAGCCAGTGGCGAGACACAAATTGATGGGCAGCTCTACAATATATTTCTAAGAGAAAAAGAGATTTAAACATTGAGATGATGCAATCATTAAGATGTTCTGTGCTGGTACTCAGCTCCAGAAGCTAGTCTTTTCCCAGTACAAAAGATTACTGAAGATAAATTAAATTAAACTAAAGGCTTGATCCTTATTACACTTGTAGGCCAGACAACACATTAATTGATATATCATAATATTTAATATTTTGAAATAATCATAAGAATATATATAATAATTACACCTGAGTTTTAAAAACAAAACAAAATGGAACTGAATGGTGTCATCAGTAACAGGCTATGAGCAGCCAGACGCAAAACTGACACAAACTAACTCATCTGTTTGAGACCAAGATTATCTCTTAAAGCCAATGATTCACACTTTGTCCACCATGATTTGTAACATTCCTTTCTCTTTCTGAGCTCTATCATGTCATAATAGAGTTGAAGAGAACTATACAAGAGTTTTAGTATAGCTTAATATATGTCTATGTCTTTTATAACAAAAACCTCATCTTTCTGACAGTAACTTGAACCAATACACATACAAGAGTATTGCACATGGACATTATTATAATTATTCTTTCATAGACTAACATTTTAATAGTATGCCTGAACATGCAGCAGTTGATACCTCTATATTCAATGAATTCCACAGGCCTTGCAGCAAACACTATATACAAAATCTCACCTGTACAAAAGGCAAAAAAGCTTTAGTGCCACTTTGCCAATCACAAGTATATATATTTTTGTGCAGCTGGAAATCCATGTGCAACAATTAAAATGGATTCCAATGACCGCTCACTCAGTCCAGTAAAATATATAATAAAATGACCTCAGCGATACATGTACACAAAAAAAAAAAAAAAGAAAAAAAAAAAAGAAAAAAAAAAGATTAAAACCAAAACCAAATCACAGGGTACTCCTGGAAATATAAGTACATAACACTGTTTGCGTATCTACAGGAGGTAACTTCACATTAGTAATAATGTCCACATGAGTTACCATTTCAATTCATACACAAAAAAAAAAAATCAATTTACAGTTTTCAATAATGTCAGTTTGTGAATGTTTGATCTTCAGTTTTTAACACATCTCCACATAATGCATGTGTAGCCTTATTTTGTGTCTTCTAAAAGCAGATTTCTCTTTAGATTTTAAACATAAAACCCAACAAACACAGTAGTATTATGGTTTTGCAAAAGTGTGCAAAAGTAACACACTGCTGAGAAAATAAATATAAATAAGAAATTATTTACCAACTTAGCTACTATGGAAAAGGCAAATTTATAATGTTTATAATTAATTTTTTATGTAAAATTAACTGTAAACATTTGCAAGCTTACCATCACATTAATGATTCATTTAAAAGGACATTAAATTTGGTAACATGGATAGTATACCAAATTGTCTGAAAAACAGTAAAATGGCTATGTATAGTTGAGTTAAATTACTGTAGGCTTTTTATTCTTTAGCCCTTTAATATCTATCCATGTAGCATCTTCTTTCTTGCTTTAAATAAAATTTCAGTTATCTTTTTGTCTCTTATTCCTAAGAGCTTCCCGTGTATTATACAAGGAAGTTCACTGAAAGCCTTAATTGATGTGCTTCTTTTTCTGGACAACTTCATAGTCTGTACCTCTCCACAAAAAATTAATAATTGAGGATTACACCTCCATGAAGGCAGACTTTGCTTTCCAAAGAACATCTGAGTACAGATCTCAGCATAACCACCACTGCAGAAGAAACAGTTCTCACCTTCTTAGCTTAATTATACATGATGATTACAGAATGTGGTCTGCTAAATTGCTTTCAATAGCATAGCTTAATTTCCTATGCAAAAGATGCAATTTTGTCCTCTGGGAATTCCTATTCTTAGGAATAAAAGAAAAGTTGCAAATATATGGCAGTGTGTTACATCCACAATTTCTGATACAAAATTATTTTGCATTGCTTTGTGAGACAGAAATTAAGAGTGCTTTCAGGTCAGAAGATAAAAGGAAAAAAAACAATAAATATATATTTTAACTTGGGATATGGGCTCAGGGTAAAAGAAGTAGTTCTTCATCTACTGAGTCTCAGTAATTTGATGATCTCTTCAGAATCACTTCTTGTAGTATCATTCATCCGTCAGCCTAACGTTGTCTATGGCAGTAGCTCTTCTCCAAAATAAGAGAACCCTTTAAATTCTTCTTGATTGATTTGTTTTATAATTGTCTCATCCACTAGTGTTAATACTGGTTCTTCTCGTGTAAAGTCTTGATCAAAGTTATTTACATCCCTTTTGGTTTTCTGAGAAGAAAAATATAAATAAGGTGAATGGTAAAACAGCACAATAAAATAAAAGGTGCTCTCCCCTCCTCTCCAACCCCCCCTGAAAGGCTGAATTTTCTGGAATGATTGAAATAAAAGAGGAGCTACTTCACACAAATAATAACAGACATATGAGAGAAGCTACAGGAGCAAGAAGTATAAATGAGTTTAGGAGAGGCCACAGAAGCAGTACTATAAATGAGGTCCCAGAGACTCGCGGTCTCTGACAGGCGAAGGAACAGCAGTATGATGATAAAGCAGAAAGCTGAGATTAGGACTAGTTTTAAAAAGGCTTTGGCGTAGTAGGCGGTATGGCTATTTCCTCTTGGATTTGAACATAAACATATCTCATTCAGAGTCACAGAGTGAACTGATTTAATTGATTTCCCCCAAACACAGCCCAGTGTTTCAAATCTAAGTTAACAATTTCTTTATATCACCACAAGTGATACAGGCTACACTCATGTTTAAAAATCTGAGGTAAAGTTTCCAACAGCTCTCAATCCAAAACCCTTGAGTTCAACATTGGATTTCCTAATGCTGCCATATGTAATTGAGAACACCATGCAAAATGTGAAATCCTGTCTCCAGAGAAATCCACCTCGGAACTCTTCTTTATTTCAATGGCACCAGGATTTTCCCACCCAAGTCTAAAGTCCCTCACTCCTTCAGCAAAGTTGGGCCAATGAAGTGCAGCTGTGCATGTTCTGGGACAAGAGGTATTAAGAGAGACAGTCCTGGGGAGGCTGACTTGCTGTCCTCATGACACTCATGACAGTGACTATCTGTGACCACTTACTTGAAGAAAAACCACTCTAGGCGACAGCAGAAAATGTTCTCCATGGCGATTCCTTTGAACCTGCAGTGCTCACATTTTCCATGTTGGCAGCACATTTCAGGCATGTACAGGTTCAGGGAATTGGAACAAACCTTTTTCTTTATGCTGTCTCTTTTCGCTTTGTGTCATGGAAACTACTAATTACCTGGGTGATCCTTAATGGAGGCACACTGACACATTGAAATTGAACTTTGTGTTCCTCCTGCCCATGTATGAGATTAAATGATACTGGAAAAAAACAGCTATTTGACTTGCAAAGTAAAACGATAAAATGAAAAAGTCATACATCATAAATATATCAATATATTCAAAATGGGATATATACCACCTTTCAATGTAGGTAAATTTTTCTATTCTGCAGATATATATAAAAATATATTTTATTAATAGTCAACCTTCACCTACACTGTAAGAACTTCATAGATATAGGGAAAGAAAGGTCTGTGTAAATGCAAGAGACTGTCACTTGTAAACCAAGTACTTTCTAAGTGCAGACAAACAAAAATCCACAATTTCTACCTATAGAATTCCATTAAAAGGAAAGGGATATGGACTTAACAAACATATATATATATTTATTTAGATTGTTTACATTTGAAATATTTACTTTGTACATAAAGACCAGACATGAAATGTATGTGACTCATGTAAATCTGAATTGCATAAGAGGTATGAGTGACATGGCTTTGGACTTTATGAGGGGTTTTTTTAAGTAATTTGGCAAAACCTGCAAAATAAAAATGAAATTCCATCTTAATTTTTAAAAGCATTACATTGCAATTGTGTCTACATTCCTCTTGTTTTCCATGTCTTACTGTAGTATTTTCACACACCCACGCAATTTGCCACAGGAATACTCACTAAAGCAGAAGAAGGTGAGTATTTGCCAAAAGTAGAATTCAAATTCAGAACTGTAGTTATATGCAAAGAAATGTGACTACCCTCACACTTTTACTATCTATCAAGGACAAATAAACTCTCAAGTAGCTGAAAACAAATAGAATATATATTATTTTCAGGTTTTTATATTGAACATATTTGTGAAAAGTATTATTTCCTTGCTTAACTTAAAAGAGTTAAATGACAAATTCCTCAAAACTGTCAGGGGCAATTAATTCCCCATAGCTACTTATTCCAGAAATCATGAAGACTTGTGAAGGTGTTGGACAAAAAAGAGCACAGAAGAGTACATATAAAAAAGGGTCCCAACATTGGTGTATGTAAATTCTATTGATTAAAAATAATTGTGCTGCCAGTAGGGAATCCGAAACACTTCTGAAACAACAAGCAAAGATATTTGCTTAGATTTAAAAGCTTACTGTGTCTTAAAATATGACTTCAAGACCAAAGAATGAAAGAGAAGGTTTTACTTTCTCTGATTTATAAACAATTCCATGTAATTTTGGCAGCACAGGTGCAAATCACCCAGTTTATTAACAGGACAAGCAAGGAGCAATCTATGATTGCAAGGATGTGCTAACAGGTCTCTAATTAACCAACTGATTAAGTGAGATTAAACAAATCACGGGGAACAAAAGTGAGTGGATTAAGCCAAGGTAGCACTCATAACAAGTGCTTCTTTTCAACTGAAACATTTATTTGAGAAGCCCTCCTTAGCAACTTAGGCACCTTCTTCCTGAAGCTATGACTATTTTGCAAGGCTCCATTTGCTACGACAAAACAGGTCTGGCCACATTTCTGCTACTATTGGTATTTTAATGGACTTGCACTGTGAATACTCTGTAGGCCAAGAGCATGAACCATCCCAGGGTTGCATCATGAGGGCTCAGGATGAAGGTATGAAGGGCTGTGCCTGTCTCCTAGCAGAGAAGCTGAGAAAAGAAGGAAGATCTGCAAGGTAAAGAGAATATATGAAAGAAACAGAGTGCAGCTATTATCTGAATTTGAACATTAAAAAATAATGAAGATAAAAGGAAAAATGTTTAGATTGACTCCTAAATGCCTAATTTAAAATGCAGTAATTATATGGGTGGGATTGTGTTTATTTAGCTTGCAGCTCCTAAGACTCTTGGACACATTATTTTAAACTTTTCTGACTTTTTTCCAGGTTAGACGCTTCAATTTCAGATGACTGAGGAAACTACAATACTAGGAAAGAAGAACATCCAGAACTACAGCTGTCCTGCTAAACACACAGAAATTCCATTAGGTTTCAGATGCTCCTTTTTTTCTCTCTAGACTACCCAAGCATCTTGTCTTTAGCTACACAAGAGCAGGAGCACAGCAGCTACCCAAAAGCTCTCAACAGGAGGTGCCCAACTTCACACTGCACTGGCAATGACCAAAAATGGCATAATTCCAACTCTAAATCTCATCAGAATGTTGGCTGTTCCACCAGCAGAAAACCTCTGGTACTGAGAAGGAATAGCGACCACCTCTCGTGCAGAACACGTGCCAGCCACTTGATCTTTTGTTTTTCCCAGCAGTGTGAATGGTGACCCTCAGAGGTCCCATCTGAGCAGTGACTGTGTGACTTAGGAGACATGATATGATTAGATGTAAAACTTGAATATTTAATAAACCCATATGACTACCAGCCATCAAGGATGACAATTTTTAAGTCAAAAGCATGTTTTATTCTATTCAACAAGATAAAGATATCAGAACTATAAAAGGCTATCTCTTGATAAAACACCATTTAATCAGCTTTTGTAGTTGGCCTGTACAATTTTGGACAAAGAGCTATTGGGTTTTTTGAGTCAAAGTGCTTTTTTTATTCTCAGATTTCTTCACATATTTATTAAAAGTTGCTGTTAATAAGCACACATTAAACGGTGGTTTTCTGAATTCTTTTGTTTTCACTGCCATTTCAATAAAACATTCAATTTCTACCTGCAGTCAAACTCAAGCTTAAGAAAACCCCACTAAAATCTGCTTATTAAGCTTTTTCAATGTTGAGGATTAGCAACCTTGTCTGTCAGTGATTACTGAATGACTTTATATGAATTTCAACAGTGAAAAAAGAAATTTAAGTTCATGTTCTTATAACTGGGAATACATTCAGAAAGTTAAAACTTGCAGTTCCTTCCATTAATTACATGAAGGAAATGTGAATGATGGGAGCCTTTGGTATTGAAAAGCCACAGAAATCCTTGCAAGAAGGCACCTGACAGAGGGTGCTCCAAACCAGGGAACTCAGGAACGCTTGGACAACTCATCAGATGTGTCATGAGGCCAAGAGGCTCAGTGGACTCTCTTCTGCCTAATAAAGATTAATTATCCAGTTTGGAGACATTAAGAAGTCTCTCTCTTTAGTCTGTTACTTATTTCATTTAATTTGCATAAAATCACTGAAACCCTTTCAAGTCCACTGAAATGGACTCTCATAACTGTGCTAGCATTGTCCAGCTGCTTCAAAGGCTACTCAGAGAAGGTAAAAACCAGATGGAGGTGGTGGCTAGGAAAGAACACTGCCATGAAAGAATGGGGTTTGTTTTTTAGTCTGATTGTCCTACAAATTCACAATATGCTGTTTAAATATAACTATAGGAGGCTGCTGCAGCTTTTGGTGTGCAGCTCCAGAGGCACATGGCAGCAAGAACGGGACATGCAGCAAGAGTCACACTTTCTCATATGTATTGGTATCACTTAATTTTATCCAGAATTTTATTTCAGTAAGTAATAAGTGATTCCCATGTTTGACACAGTATCATCAAGAAGAAATTCTTCAATCAGGATCATAAAAGCTCAAACATTTTGTATCTACCTCATAGCTGATAAGATTTTCAGATTATATTTATCAAGACAAAGGGTAACTCAGACATCAAACCAGCTGGTTTGAAGCACAAGGTTATGTGGCTAACCTCACACATCACCATCCTCTCATTCACCTCTCCTTGTTATGATAACAAAAACCACAGCACAGGCAGAGATCACTTTGCACCATGGGTTGGATTTCTTTTTGTAGAGGTGCAGTAGTTTCTAAATATTTGAGACCAACTATAATGACCACTCACTTTTGCACATAACTTATGCTATTTATAAATAAATTCAGTATGAATATTTTAAAGGAAATGGGCTAAGAAGCACAACACTTCAGGCCTATCTTTCACTTTATCCTCAGGATGCCTCTTCACAGTATTTGCATGTCCTGAGAATCTGTATCAGCATTAGAAGTATTTCCTAGCTTGCCTGATGAGAAATACATGTTATCAAAATAACTTTATAAGTCAATAAATTTTCTAAGCATGTTACCTGCTCTATTCGCACATGGAAGAGTGACAACACATTTGCTGTAATATATTCAACTGAAGCTTATGATGATGATAAAAAGGCTTTTGAATCCAAGGAGCTTTTTAAAGTATAACAACATTCATTACTTCCAAGCAGAGGGTGAGATTTCATTCTCCTAGACAATGCTTTCATTAGAGGTGAAGGGCACCACATTAAGTGAAAGTTGTGGGAAAGCCCCCCCCCCCCCCCCCTCAATAAAGGTGTTAATAGATAGAGAAACAGTATTTGGAAAGCATGTCAACCTATACAGTCCATACTTTAATCTGTTATGAAAGTACACAGATATTGAATAAACATCAAGCAAATTCACAAAATTATAGATTTTAAAAGGGATCATTTGTGATACACTAAAATGAAAAAACATTTATATTGAAATGGTATTCCCTTTCTTAGGACTGTTAAATGGGTCAACTAGGCAGGAGGAATAACCTAAACAATTAAGGGCATAAACCTTTAACGACTCCACGGCCAGAATGTCAGCCTTTGTATTTCACTTTTACATATACTTCCTCAAAACCAGAGCCTCCACAAAACAAAAAGAAAGGCAAACAAAAAAGTTCTGCAGGTTCCCTGACAACCAACCTGTGTTCATGGTCTGAGCAATAAACCTCTCGCAGCAGTCCCTGTGAACCTGTTGTCCTCTATGGCCCTACTTGGGTATACTCATCACCCTGAGTACACAGCACTAAAGTTACACACAGTAAAAAGCCATGTATATAGCAAACCTTTGTTCATAGCCTGGTTACTACACCACAGCAGTTATTTCTGCACAGAACTTGGATGGAGAAAGATTCCACAGCAGTTTTAGGGGAGCTAGGCACCAGCTTTCCATCCCTGGTTAGTCCTTTGTCCTCAAAATCCATCGTGTTCTTCTTCTCAGGGCTTGCTTCAATTAGGACTCGATTGTGACACAGAACCATTGCACATTAGCTATGCTGTGGTAGAATACATGCATTTTTTGAAGGGAAAAAAATGCAGGGAAAGAGTGCCAACCTCTGAAATCCTATACTACATTTTGCCCTTAAGGTAGGTTTCTTTGAGAGAAGTAACCTCATGAGGAACAATTTTATTTCTTCTTGGGAAGAGGAGGAAAGACAAGAAGAGAAAGTAATGGAACTATCATATGAAATTACCCTTCACCTGCACAATGCGATTTCTACTGTAAACCCTGTGATCTACTCCGCAGGGCAGATTTTATATGTGTGTCTCTCTAATTCACATTATACCGGCAAGCTTCCATTGATATCCTCAGCTGCTCTAAGGCCATAATCAGCCATGTCATCTCCCCTCTCACATCCTGGCACACATCCCAGATTAGCCCATTTTCAGTTGTGTTCTCCTGAAACTGCATTTTTACCACTGTCACAGCAGAGTGACAGGAGTCAGGGCTGGTGCATGTGACAATGTGCTGAACCACCTGCTGGTGAGTCCTCAAATACACCTGTAGAAGCCTTTTGACCTTCCCGATCCTTAGCACTTTGGCACAAAGGAGGATCCAGACAATGGAGCTGACTTGCAAAGCGGTAGAAAAAGTAAGTCTAGGGCACATATTCCCAGAATTTCAGTGGCTTCCAGGAGACATCTGCAAAATCACTGAAAAAGTTATCCAAATATAGATTAACTGTGCACTGAGGTGTTTGACCAGATATGTCCTATCAATAGATTCACTTTACTTTCCATTCTTTAAGCAATCAGAAAGACAAGGAATAAATTAGGGAGACGGTGATGTTAGTAAATCGATCAATGATGTAATGAAATATTTCAAGACACTCTATATATCCTGAATAAATACTGACTTTCCAGCATTTTATTTTGCTTACAGTCACCTACACATTTCTTTGCAGAAAAGTACTGCATTATGGAAGCCTTCCTGATGATGGCATGAAATTACATAGTAGTATCTTGTGATTCTGAGTCCTCCTCTATCAAGGAGCATTGACATGCACATTGGGAGGCTGGATGCAAAAAAAAAAATCACAGCTTGAAAGGTGTGACAACACTTACAGTGGGAGCAAAATTCCAAGACTCAGTTACACATTAAAATAATTTGCATTACAGGCCATAGAATAGAAATGCTACACAGTTTTTGGCAAGAATACCTACATTTCTGGGAATTTATGCTCTTTGATATTCTAGCTAATTAGTTTGACATGGATGATGCATATGACAGGCTTTCATACAGTGAAATGGTATAACAGTTTTTAACTAAGACAAAAGGAGAAAGCTACACAATGATGGTTTATTGCTAAAACAACAGAATTGCTAGAGATTATATTTTTAAGTGTAATGATTATTTTTAAGCCTTTACAAAGACAGAGCAAAATAAAGACATATGTGACTTAAGAAAGCAGGTGAGGATGCCCCGTCCTCTTTTTTTTTTTTTTTTTTTTTTTTTTTTTTTTGACTATTGCACATACAGATCATAGGCTAAATAAAAGGCATTGCACGGCTATGCGTGAATGCCTATTACTTCTACATCTCAACACATCTTTTTTCCACCTTTCTTCCAGACCCTGTAACTGCCTTTTTTGGAACACAGTTTTATTCATAGAGCACATCACGACACAGCACAGTTTGTAGTGACATGACTTTAATTCCTGGTTTTGCTACTGATTTGCTTTGAGCTTGAGTAATTTTCATCATTCATCTAGTTTTCTTCTTATTTTTGTTCTCCTATAGGTGGGCTGTGATGTGTCTATCATCTACAATCTCTTGACTGTCTTTCACTTATATGGCTTTCTGCACAGTGGGACCCCCATCTTGCTGGGAATTTGAGCTGTTAATGCAGACATGACAGCAAAAACTCGGTCACCCTTTCTTCTTGGCTTGTCAAATATAATCACACTCTTTCAAAGAGTCATGGGCAGTCATGGTCTTCAGATCCTTCTTTTCCGTACTCCAGAATTAAGCCAAGAGAACTGTTGTTCTGTAGGTCCTTCACAAATGTGAATATGGCATGCAAGGAACAAGATCTGTGCTTAAGGTTTTTTGCAAGTGTTTAGACTGAGTGCTCCTCTCATCCCATGGGATTTAAGCATGTGACTTCTGGAGCATGCTGTTCAGAGGACCACTACAAGGTCTGTGCCTCCACAGCAACAAAATCCCTTATACCAGCACAGCAGCATAACAAGAGGAAGGCAGCAACCAATGAAGTGCTGGGATTCCTCACCATGTAAAGATGCTTTCCCTGTCCTACTGCTGTAGATAAGTAGCTACACATCAACTGCTTCAGTCCTCCCTCTGCCTAGCAGTGCACATGTCAAAGGAATTAAGTTTTGCACTAGTATTCTGAGCTGTGAATACACACACTGACAAAATTTGTGCTGCCCATTTTGGGTGAACGCCCTAGTAAGACCTAATTCTTGCATTTGCATAGTGTACTGCTAGCACAGAAAGTTCTGCACGAGAAATAAACCCAAAGCCAAAGCTCTTTTTATACTCAATGTTTACTTGACTCCAGCTGGGATGGGACTAGTCAGAAAAGGCCACCCTTCAATGAGTCTTGACTTTTTTTTTTATAAATTCCACCTTCTGATAAA